CTCCCCAAGGGCCATGGCAGAGAACGGCCAACTCGGTGCATATAATAAGAGGGGAGCTGCAACAGCCTTAAATACACCCGGGCACCGGGATCAGGGAGGAGCGACCCGCAGGCACCCGGCGTGGGCACGATGGGTGCCTGCGCTGCTGCCGCTGCAGCTAATTGCGTTAGGGGTAATGAGGCTGTTTGCAAGGCGGCGGCTCCTGCGACTCCTTCTGCAGCACCACGGTCGTCCCAGACCCATTTCTGTTGCAATCCCAGACCTGCCTGGGCTGCAATCCTGGACCCAGCTGGGTTGCAATCCCAGATCCGTTTGGGTCGCAATACTGGTCCCACCTGGGTTGCAATCTTGACCTCTTCTGGGATCCAATCCCAGAGCCATTTCTGTTGTAATCCCTGTTTTATTTGGGTTGCAATCCCAGACTCATTTCTGTTGCAACCCCAGACCCATCTGGGTTACAGTCCCAGGCCATTCTGGGTTCCAATCCCAGAGCCCATTGGGTTGCAAACCTGGGCCCATCTGGGTTGCAGTCTTGGACTCCTTTAGGTTGCAATCCGGGGCCCATCTGGTTTCCAATCCCAGACCCATTTGGGCTGCAACCCCCCGTTTGGGCTGCAACCCCAGGCCCATCTAGTGCATCTAGAAGCCCAGATGCCAGGATTAACCCTTGGGGCAGCTTCTTCCAGTGCATTTCTAGTGCATCTAGAAATGCACTGCAATTCTAGACCCACCTGGGTTGCAGTCCCAGACCCATTTCTGTTGCAATCCCAGACCCATCTGGATTGCAAATCTGGGCCCATTTGGGTTGCAATCCTGGGCCCATCTGGGCTGCAATCACAGGCCCATCCGGGCTGCAATCCTGGGCCCATCCAGGCTGCAATCCTGGGCCCATCCGGGCTGCAATGCTGGGCCAATCCGGGCTGCAATCCTGGGCCCATCCAGGCTGCAATGCTGCGCCGCTCTGGGTTGCAACCCCAGACCCATCAGGGTTGCATCCCTGGGCCCATCTGCATTGCAATCCCAGACCCATTTGGGTTCCAGTCCCAGACCCATCTGGCTGCAATCCCAAACCCATTCCTGTTGCAATCCAAGATCAGGGTTGCAAGCCTGGGCCCATCTGCATTGCAATCCCAGGCACATCTGGGTTGCAGTCCCAGGTCTGCCTGCATTGCGATCCCGGGCTTATCCGGGTTGCAAGATCAGACCCATCTGGTTGCAATTCTGGACCCACCTGGGTTCCAGTTCTGGACCCGTTTGGGCTGTAACCCCAGAGCCACCTGGGTTGCGATCCCAGACCCACTTGGTTTGCAATCCTGCGTCCGTCTGGGTTGCAATCCCGGGATCATTTGGGTTGCAATCCCCGATCCATCCGGGTTGCAATCCCAAACCCATTCCTCTTGCAATCCCAGACCCATCGGGGTTGCAAACCTTGGGCCATCAGCATTGCAATCCCCGATCCATCTGGGTTGCAAAGCCCAACCCACTCCTCTTGCAATCCCTGCCTCGTTGAAATTGCAACCCCCAGCCCCAGCTGGCCCGCGAGCGACGCCATGACGCTGCAATGCCGTGACGCTGCGACGGTGACCCGGCCGCTCTGGCTGCAGCAACGCCCTCGAGCCCTCCCACGGGATCACTTGTCCCTGGGACAAGCCGGGGGGATGCCTCCGTCCCTCTCCATCCGCAGAGGGTCCTTCCCACACCCCCACTCCCCAAACACCTCCCTTGAGTCAGTTCCGTCATTTAACTGCGCAAGTAGATTCTCCAGTGTCTACTATTAAGGTTGAGCTTTCTGCTGCTGGGTTTAAAAACCCCTCTCAAACCCACCCAACCTCTTCGGACGTTATCAGGGAGGAAGGATGGACGGAGAAGGGTTAAGCCCATCGCCGTCCGGACCGGGGAAGGAGCCAGGCTGGATCCCACTGTGCATCGAGGGGCCCAAGGGAGGTTATCTCGCCGTCACCCAGGAAAGAAAAAGCCGGAGCGATGCCGGCCATCCCCGCCGGCCGCCGAGCCCGGACCCCCCTGCGCGCGGCCCGCAGCCCACAGGAAATTCCAGG